TTATTTTCAATATTCCAATTCATATTTATCGTTCCACTATTAATAATCCTAATCTTGGAGTAATCATTGTCCAATGATTGAACCATAATACTTATACACATTTATAACCCCAAGTTCACATATTAGTATAAATTATACACGTTTTAACCTAAAAATCTACTTTTAATTACATAAAAACTTAATAGAAAGGATGAAAATAATTACCTTGACGCCTTGAAATGAAAATATTGGTTTTTCTCCTCCCTTTTCCCTTTCTTCCCCCTTTCTTTTCTTTTCTTCTCTGTTCTTCTTCGAATCGTTCTCCTTTTTTTTTTCTCATATAAGCCGTCAGGCTTTTATAAGTGTAGGGCACTTTGCCCCTTTTCTTTTTATTTTATTTTATTTATTTAATTAATTAATTTCCTTTTCTTTCTTTTTTTTTCTTTTTCATTATTATTAGCAATAAAATAATCTTTTATTAAATCTAAAATCATGTCACTCATTGTTACAAGTCATATAAATTATTTATAAAATCTACTAAAAAGGTAAATATAAGAATAATAGTTGGAATTTCTAAAACGACTAAGAGGGTCGTTACATGTAACTGATGAGTATTTTAAGTGATATGTTTCTTTTTAATAATATTCTCTCCCCTAAATTTCTCCTTTCTATTATTAAATAATTATATTTTTTCAAGTAAAACAAATAAAAACAATGTGAATTGAATACGTCACAAACTAAAATATTAACATTTTTAATACATATTGAAAGTGTGGGTGGCTAAGGGATCCTATTAAATGTCAAAATATTGACATTTTAAAAATTTTCAAAAAAACACACACGTTTTCTTCCTTTTTCTTTTACCCCCTTTTGAAAAGAATTGGACCCAAGATAATGAAACTTTATCTTAAAGCTAATTATATTTTAAGTACATTAAGTTTATGTACTATGAAGCTGATATGGAAGAAATATTTATGAAGACGAAAGGACGTTCTTTTAATTGGTTGTCAATAATTAATGGACAAACAAAAAGTGAGTGTGCTAGGTGAAATAGGATTGTATGGGCAAATGACAGAAATCACCTACGTTTTTGGCAAAATAATAATTTATTCCTTACAAATATATAATTATAAAATCCCTCAAACTGCTACAATAATATAAGCACTGATATATTAATCTGATGCGTGAGACATTAATCATTAAGTAAGATAATACATTTTATACACGATACACTAATCTGATGTACATTTTATACATGATACATTAATCTGATGCGCGAGATACGTTAATTTGATGCGCTGATACATTAATCTGATGCATGAAAATGAGAAATTTTGAAAATTTATAAAACTAGTAGGAGATAATGATAATAAGAGAACTTAAAGGTGAGGTTCTGTTATTTTTTTTATATAAAAAATATCAAAGTAAAGGTCAAGGTTGCTTTTTATGAATAATATCTCCCCTAAATTTCTCCTTTCTATTATTAAATAATTATATTTTTTCAAGTAAAACAAATAAAAACAATGTGAATTGAATACGTCATAAATTATAATATTGACATTTTTAATACATATTAAAAGTATGGGTGGCTAAGAGATCCTATTAAATGTCAAAATATTGACATTTTAAAAAAATTCCAAAAAACACACGTTTTCTTCCTTTTTCTTTTACCCCCTTTTGAAAAGAATTGGACCCAAGATGATGAAACTTTTTCTTAAAGCTAATTATATTTTAAGTATATTAAATTTCAGACACTTTTCACATATAGCAAACAAAAAATTCATATTTGTATGCTATAGCAAAGTTTGCATAATTGCGCTTCATAGCAAACATAAAACTGTATAATTCGCTATACATATACAATTGTATAATTCGCTGGCCTAAATTGTATAATTCGATGGCCTATTTCGCTGCAATTGTATAATTCAATATCCTATTTCACTGCGATTTTATAATGCACAATTGCATAATTCATTGCCTGTTTCGCTGCAATATTTTTATAAAATTTGTTTTGCATACAATTGAATCGAATTAAAATATATGTATATTGCATAATTATAAGTGTATAGCAAGTAGATATATGTTTTTCTCTCGCTTTATACAAAAACAGAAACACAATATATACACTTATGTTGTATAAAGCTAGAGAAAATTGTATTTCACTGCAATTGTATAATTCGCAATTGTATAATTCGTTGGTCTTTATCTCTGCAATATTTGAAGTAAAATGTTTATAAATTGTATAATTAAGTGTATAACACGAAGATATATATTTTTGTATGTGTATATAAAATTTTCTCTCGCTTTATACAAAACAGAAACAGAATTTCTAAACTTTTGTGTATAAAGCGAGAGAGGCGAGCGAGATTTTTGGGAGAGAGACTCCTAGCAAACTTTAGCTAACATTTGCTATGGAGCACAACTAAATCAAACCCTAGCTACTCCATTTATTTTAGGTTATTAGTTTGCTATTGTATACAATTTCCCCTTAAATTTATGTACTATGTGGATGATATGGAAGAAATATTTATAAAGACGAAAGGACGTTCTTTTAATTGGTTGTCAATAATTAATGGACAAACAAAAAGTAAGTGTGGTAGGTGAAATAGGATTGTATATTTTATTTAATTGTATAGGAATAATTTTCTTTAATTGTTTATTTATTTCTTAAAATAACATAATCCAACGGTATTAATATACCGACAGAATATCCCACAAGATTAAGTTTAGTTCTATGTGAACCGATATTGTATAAATAAAGGGATAATTGTACTAAATAGCAAACTAATAAAATAAATTGAGTTGCTATATTTTGATTTAATTGTGCCGCATAACAAACGTTTTTGCCAGTCATCTCTCTCCCTAAACTCTCGCTCGTCACTCTCCCTCTGCTCGTCTCTCTCGCTTTATAGAACAGAAGTGTATAAATTGCGTTTCTGTTTTGTATAAAGCGAGAGAAAATTATCTATACACATGCAAAAACATATATTTTCTTCCTATACATTTAATTATACAATATACAAGCACCTCACTTAGATTCAATTGTATACAAATGCAAATTTTTTATACAGATATGCAATGAAATAGGCCGGTGAATTATACAATTGCAGCAAAATACAATTTTCTCTCGCTTTATACAATATAAGTGTATAAATTGTGTTTCTATTTTGTATAAAGCGAGATAAAATTGTATATACACATACAAAAACATGTATCTTCTTTCTATATACATATAATTATACAAAATACAACATTTTACTTCGATTCAATTGTATACAAATGCAAATTTTATACAGATATTGCAGCGAAATAGGACAGCGAATTATACAATTGCTGCAAAATAGGCCAGCGAATTATACAATTGTAGCTAAATAGGCCAGCGAATCATACAAGTGTATATGTATAACAAATTATACTATAAAGTGTAATTATGCAAACTTTGTTATAACATACAAATATAAATCTTGATGTGCTTCATTACTTTTTTTATTTTTAGCTCTAAGTCATCCTATATGTCAGTCAAGAGAAAAAAGTTTTGTTGAATTTCAAAATAGTCAAATTTATCTTCAAAATAGATTTTTATTAAATTCTTAAAATTGATGGCAAATTATTTCATTTCAAGTAGTAATGGAAAAAGTTGGTCCAGGTTTTCTTGTTTTAAAACAGTCAGGTATTATCGATTTCAGTTGAGTAATTGGAAGTATTTTTAAGATAAATATTTAATGGGGAGGCCATTTGAACTGAAAATATAATGAAAGACGAAATTAATCTTATTTTATATATAAGAATATTTTTTTAATCATTTTCTTGATAAAAGTACTATAAAATCATAAATTATTTGAAAGTATCGTAGTAATAATATCATTATTCTCAAAATAATAAGAGTGTTACTTATTTAATTTTTTTAAAAGTAAGTATGACAGAAAATTTTCATTTTAGTCTTAATAAAAATTAAATTATGTATCTTTTTTTTTTTACTTTTCCAACATAGTGTTTTTTCTATACTGGGTAAGTATTTCAATTTCAACATTCTACTTTACAAACTTAAGAACTACATGTATCTTTAATTTATAAAATTCAAAAATCTCTCTTTATTTTACAAATTTTTTGTCAAGTCAAACTTATATGGTTAAAAAAAAACTAATAAATAAAAAGTACTATCAACCATAACTAACCTGAGCAACTATGGTAAAAGAATCTCCAGCATATATCACACATGATCTATCGACCAATTTCCTTTAGAATTGTTATTTGCTAAGAAAACAGCCAATTTGGTCTTCCATTGAAATATGGATGTTTTTTTTATAGTAAATAATAAGTCTTTCTCATCTGTGCTTTCTCCTTTAAATGCATCCCATCTCGAATGCTCAGTCAATATCTATATACAAAAATAAATTGATAGCAAGAAATACTTCAGTTTCTAACGCAAAAATATTTATATGATAGTCACTTATAAAGTTATTACTACTAAACTATTATAATAAGTAATAAATGACAATTAATTTGGTATTACAAAATTAAAATTTACTGATAATGCAAGATATCTTTAATTATCAATGTTTATAAACTTATTTATCCTGCTACTATGTTAGTGACAATAACTAATGAATTTTAAAAAATTTAGTCAACTCTCTAAATTTTATCCGTATTATAAAAATTACAACAAAAAAATAATATATATTAAAGTCTAGCTAGCACGAACACGAACTATTCTAGCGTATGAGGTTAGTAGCCATCTTAGTATACGAGAGGTACTCGACCAAACGTGATAAATTACATGCAAAAGCATGGGACAAGTTGGTCTACATGCAAAAGCATGGGACAAGTTGGTCTAATATTTTATGATATAAAGTAAAAATAAAAAAGTGGGGAAGTTGCTTTTTAGTCCAATATTTTTTTTTTACAATATTTGGAAAACATTACATATGTTCTTCATGTTGTAATTAGACAACCATAACACCATTGAGCAAACCATATATTTTCTATAAATACTATCACTAAACTAACTCATTTGTCACAAATCCATTGAAAAAAATGAAGCTTTTTCTAGTTTCCCTCTTTCTCCTCCTCTTTCTCTCTCTATGTCTCTCCGAAAAGTGCAACCAAAATGACAAAAAAGCCCTCCTAGAAATCAAGAAAGGACTAGGCAATCCCTATGACTTGATCACTTGGGATCCCAATACTGATTGTTGTACTGATTGGGCTGAAGTCACCCTCTCATGTGATGAAAAAACCAACCGTGTTACTTCCATAAACCTCTTCAAAATTGAGGACGCCGGATACCTCTCCCCCGCGGTTGGAGACCTTCCCTACCTTTGAAAGCTTAGATATCAACAATGTACGAAATCTCTCTGGTCAAATTCCACCCACAATTGTTAAGCTCACAAAGCTAACATTTTTGAGAATTAGTCAAACTAACATTTCAGGACCCGTCCCTGAATTTCTTAGTAAGTTGAAGAAAGTAACGTACATCAACTTATCATACAACAATCTTGTTGGTACAATCCCTCCTTCGCTTTCTCAACTTGTAAACCTAGAGTTCCTACGATTAGATAGGAACAAACTTACTGGACAAATTCCGGATTCTCTTCACAAGTTAGCTCCGAAACTCACCTATCTTTACCTTGGACACAACCAACTTACAGGGATTGTGCCAACTTCTTTTGCTGGTTGGAGCTTTGACACAATTGATTTATCAAGGAACATGCTTGAAGGGGATATTTCATTCTTGTTTGGCAAAGATAAGACAACATTTGAAATGCTTTTGGATCACAATAAGTTCGAGTTTGATTTCTCAAAGTTAACGTTTGGGGAGAGGTTAGAGAGGTTGGATTTGAATCATAACAAGATTTATGGGAGCCTTCCAACAATCACGTCGAAGAATCCGTGGCAACTCTTGAATGTGAGTTATAATAGACTTTGTGGGAAGATTCCACAGGGTGAGAATATGCAGAGATTTGAGATATATGAGTACTTTCATTTTCATAACAAATGTTTGTGTGATTCTCCATTGCCACCATGCAAATTAATGATTCCAATGGAAGAAGCAACTATGTAGGCTCTACAAGCCGTTTTTTTATATAATGCTATGAAAATTAAATAACATGGACAATGCTCCACTATATTTATTATTAAAAATTATATCTATATATATATATATAGTGTGTGTGTGTTTTCTGAACCATTCTATTTGAAAATATCCACTAGTTCAATATAACAGTCAATAAAAAGCAACGCGAAGCAAGACGGTACAAGTACAATTTTTTGTCCAAATGAGTGTTCTAAATTTTTGGAATATTTGAAATTCATATATAATATCGTATAATAGGAGAAAATAAACAACAACTATAATATATTTTGAATTCAATACTTGTTACCATTAGGGTATATATATACCTTATTGTTATCATCAAGGAGTAAATTAGTACTGCTTTCACTTAATTATTCTTGATACCACTTGAATATATATATATATATATATATATATATATATATAC